CTTTACCAAAGTGGTAACCAGTGACGTCATGTGCGCACGAAAATCGAGTTTTCGACCGATTAATATCCTACCTTGTATTCATTGCATCTCTGTGATTGTATCATGATCTAAAGCAGTCTGAAGCCGAACGAAGAAGCTGACAGAAATGAGTTTAACTGTTTTGTAGGTACCTAATCTATCTTACGAAAGTAATAAAATAGCTGTCCTACCTTTAATGGAAAATATCCGATGCTCTTTAACAGCATTTTCGACAGTTTTCCTTAACTGAGCCAAACGTTCGCTGGTGATGGTGCATCGCACCTTGCTGCCTTCTAAGCAAGACTTGGACCGTCTGGCACATTTATCGATGGTTTTTTGGATCTCAGGAGTGACGGTTTGCAGCTTGGGAGAAGAAGGTGCGCTGGACAACAGTCGGCTCAATTGGGCGTCCAAATTTTTCTTTGTTGTCCTCCCCAATTTGATCTTGGACTCGCTCTGCTCAGTACTGCTTATCGTGGATCCGATCTTGTTCTCGTAGTCTTTGATCATTTCGAGCGGCGCTGAATTTGCTCAGTTTGATTGATGGGGGATGACGCGTCTGTCACTGGAAATTTTTGTCGAAATATTACTCACGGTTTACCTGTAGTGGTAGAAGGGTGTACAAAAATGGGAATCTTACCTTACTGGAAGGAAATGGTAGTCTTAACACTACAGCGGGCGCGCCTTTCAAAATATCATGAATGGGCGCGCTGCGGCTATTGCCCCGCAAATACTTTTTTTTAAAAAACGTCATTTACTACTTTAAAATGTATTTGATAAGTGAAACTAAAATAAGTAGACAAAAATAGATGCAATTCTACAAATAATACTTGATAAAATACTAACATAAATTTAAAAAAATATATATAAAAAAATAGCGTGCGTCACGGGACGCTCGACAGAAGTGATAACTTCATAAATTAATAGAAACCATAAAATATTGAACTTGTTTAACGCATTATGGCAATAATAATTTTATTTTTTTATTTTATTATTATCCTTGGTTGAATAATTTATAAATAGATCAGGAATAGGTAAAATTTCATTTAATTTCCTTTTGAATGTAAAATATCTTTTTTATTTGCAACATTTAACATTCTTTAACGAGATTTTGTACATAATGCTCTTCTTGGGTTTGCGTAAACTCTTCTTCTTGAGTTTCTGGATTTTTTTGCCGTAATTTCTTATTTGCTTTGTATAATCTTTGACGTTCAGCACTAGTTCGTGGTTGATGAAAGCTACTTTGAGTTGATCTATTACTTAATGCTCC